ATAATATGTACAATATTAATTGAGATTACATGGGAACCAAGTGGTGCAAATGGCTAGAAATTGTCTTAGTTTCCATAGCAACCTATCAATGAAGGTGGGTATTGCTTCTACATTGCATGGGATTCTTGTCATTTAGAGAAAGGAAATTATCTCAAGTCACTGTACAGTAACAGGAAAAAGTCCATAAAACTTGATCATCAATCCTCCATTCTTGAAAAACTTAAGGATCAAGGTTTGAATTGAGTCTGCAAAAGTTGGTGGTTTTACACTAGAATATGCTGCGAAATTCCTAATCAAGGCCTGTACCCAAATCATCATGTTAACCTTGCTTGATGAGTGTAGGGCCCCAATTTTCTCAAGGACTACAAATTCATGTACATGTAACTTAGGGTGAAATTAAAAGTTGTGTAATTTTAAACTTCAGTGATTGAGAAAAATAATAGTTGCTTGAACTTGTCTGATAAGTTGAAAGATAACCTTGCAAATTGTTATTTTTGACTTTGCTGAAAAGGAACACATGTAGGTCTGCAAGAATTGGATTTTTCATCCTAAAAATTTAAGTATTGACAAAGAGCAAAGTCAAGACCTGAACCCATATCATCATTCACCTTCATTTTCTGCATAATTATAAAACACAACCCATAATTCCCTCATTTACTCCTACAAAGAGCTAACGCTTAAAACATCAGCTTTAAAACTCTTTAAGATGGCTAATTTACTTTATCAACTCAGTCGATAATACTAAATTAACTCATTATTTAACTAGTTTAATGAATTTAAGACCCAAACTTCCTTATACTACACAAGTACATGTGAATGAGAACAAAATTAAAATTTGTCTAACAACAACAATTGAGGAAAAAAAACAATAGCCAGTATAGTTTTACCTGTAACACAATGCCATTGCCTCAGCAGCTGCTGTTGCTTCATCCAAAAGTGATGCATTAGCAATATCCAGCCCTGTGAGGTCACTGACCATTGTTTGAAAGTTTAACAGGGACTCCAGTCTTCCTTGAGCCAGTTCAGGTTGGTATGGGGTATAGGGTGTGGTCCTGCGGGGGTCAAGATTTACAAAACAATGACTTCAAAAAACCTGAATCATGGAATTTAAGGGCTGCCTGTACAAAATCAGGAGTTCTCCAATTCTCCCTAAAAATTTCCATTTAAATACAAAAAGAAAAAATGCTGATTATTGGTGTTAATGGTTGCTTAATGAATTTTTAATGAAAATTTGTGTAGTGGTTTACAATTTAAATCACTTTTGGTAGTGGACTTTAATTGCTGATTGTAATATTTTGTTATGCATAATTTTATAACCTTCCAATGTTCAAGCCTGTGTTGAAGCAAGGATTGCTTTTTAATTAGCTTTGCATTTGATTGGTTGAGATGTAGAAACAAGTTTTCTAGACTGTAGCAAAGTAAAGCAAAACTAAAACTACGAAAGATCACTGTCCATATATAATTGAAACTTGTGCTTGTGCATAATACTTTGATACCATCAAGAATAATTATCTACATTTCAATGAATTCCATGATAAAACATACCAGCCAGGATTTTCCAAAATATTTCTCAAGATTGTGGTAGGTACATGACAGTTGTGATATCCCATTCCAATGTATGACCTCCAGATTTGATTGTGCTTAGCCACCTGTCGTAACTTCTCCAAAAGATCAGGTTCACCTGTACAGCAATACCAGAACAGATTTAATCAAAACTTTAACAAATTTCTTCAATGTGATTTGTTATCACCAGCCTGATTTGAACAGTAATAGAATAGTGTGCATGTCATGCTTGTAATTGGACAGTATAATAGGACAGTTGACACATCATGCTTGTGTTAGCAGACAGTAAGTGTCACAAAAGTATCCTACTGTTATGTGCATTTCACTGAGTTAACTGTTTTTTTTTTTTTTTTAATGAAAACTTATATAATGAATATCTAGTTTCTTTCTCAAATATTGTCTTAGTTTTGATTCACAAGACTTCATGTTGTCCAAATTCTGTCTGTAATGGTACTCAGGATTAACAGATTCGAATCTTGTTTTGCAGTTTTCTGATTTTGTTAATCACTTGTATGATCACAGACTGAGTTGAACACCACCCAGTCCCTTTCGCCATTATTAATTAAGCTGCAATAAGTTTGTTGCAATAAGTGGCGCTTTTGCACTGTTTGATTCATGAAAAGGACGAATAATAACCGTTTGGCCCTAATAGTGACCAGGACCTAATTTCTCCTGAATCACAAAATAAGGTCACTAGTAAGAATAAAGTAAATGATCACCCCCTAAAGAAGCTCTTGATTGTCAAACAAATTCTCCTTAGCAGCACCTTATGAAATGTATAGAGAGCTATATGGACAGTGCACACTGATGTTAGAGTGTGAATGGTTGAAAAAACTAAAAGGAAATTTTCAAGGCTTTTGTAACAACAAGGTACATGAGGGCTCTTTGTTTTCCAGGGCTTACAGACAGGGATAATCAAAGCTGGCCAATTAAAGACTAATAATAATAATAAGACTAATTGAGGGCTGTTTCATTCTAATCTTAATTTTTCTTCTCAACAGTCACCCAGCTCAAATAAATTTTACCTTTGATATTCTGCTTAATTTGATTAAAAAATTATTATATCTGAAATAGTTACTTAAACAAGTTTTCAAGTTCAAGTGTTCTTTGCACTGTTAGCCAGACTAGATAACAAAACTGTGGTACAATCCCTCATATAGAATCCATTTTACAACATTTATTTTCCCACTGGTTTCATTTGAAATGGGGAAGGATTGAGACTAGGGCTTATTAGAAACATACCTCAAGTTTTACATGAGATCTTTTAGAATGTTTACAAAAGCCTTGACCACAAAAAGGGAAAGAGGGTGGGGATGGTGGGGCTCTTTAGATGGCTCCAAGATTTTACTTAAGTCCATATTGAGGGTGTTGTTGACGATCACTTGTGAACTGCCCTGAACAATAGATGCCAAGTAACAGTGGAAACTTACTGCTTTGTTCTCTCCCAAGCCCTTTGTAAATTCATTCTTAATCTATCATTTTCACAAAAGAATCTTGTAAACTTGAGACTCTCGACAAATTTGCATTTATGTCATTAACTACAACGATGGGAATAAGTCACACCGTGAGTGAATGAAAGAAATAAAAGAAAATGAATGTATGAAAATAAAAGATAAATAAAAAATAAAAATAATAACAAAAAAAATATATTATAAAACGTTTCCTTAATATTTCCCAATGCCTCAATTCATAACTTGCATGTTGAATTGAAAACTTGACATTCCAAATTCATTTTGATGCTTTCAACAAAAGATTTGCTTAATGGCATGTCGCAGCCCTCAAGGCAGTGAATCCTTTTTTGCACGGGTCTTGACTTGTTCCTTCGCTATGCATCATTAATTTCTATCAGTCGGTTCCTTGAGAACTTGTTGGGCTTAGATGTAACTAAAACATGTTAGTGGCAAAAACATTTCAGCAAAACATTTCTTTCTGCGTCAAAGAATTTTGAGCTACAGACAGAATGCACCATGAAAAAAAATCGCATTTCTTGATATCGACGTGACGTAACCAACAAAACAATCTTAATTTTATTCAAACTGCTTAAAAATTTTAATTTGATCACATCTGGCAAGGAAGGGTCGACTACGTCGCTCGCGGAAATAACACCATAGTGATCGTCTTCGTCGATTTATCTAGTAGTTTTATTAAAACAAGAGTCAAGATTTTCGCGACCGTGCCCGGAATTTTACTTTTTCGTAAATTTGAGTTCAGTTCCTTTCAAACCGGAAGGGCACCGCGCCGAATATTTCATAACAATCGCACCAAAAATAGTGTTCTTAAGATATCTTTTATGCGAAGATATGAAGTGCTGTAGTTTAGATAAGAATGTAAGGGAATCTTAACAAAAACAGTTCACGATTTTAATAATTTAAGCGCAAAAGCAAACCAACATGGTAATATTTCACGCTGAACACTGCATGTGGTCGTAAGACTTACTTAGAGCTTCGTCGATTTCAAGGGTCCTGGTATACTTGATTGTGGATGGCAAAGTTTTGTCGATCAGATCATCTATGTTCTGAAAAATATTTTCACGAGTTTAACATTTAAGCCTAGTAATTGTAATGACTATCAGAGAAGATATGCTCCACGCTAAAGAGAATAATGCCTCTGGCGCGAAACTGCGTTTGTGGTATATCTACCTGTAAGTTGAGTGTTCGAAGCATCTCTTTTTCCTCCTCGGCATCAGGTCCGATATGTCGATGACAAAATGCATCTGACGATGGAGCGATTTGACTTAGACTGAATTTCTGACTTGAACTTGACGAACATCGCACCAGCATCAGCGAAGCTTTGATCGCCCTATCTGTAGACTTAGCAGGAAAATCACTGTCGATTGCCTTCCGTAAACCGCTCGAGTACAGACGCTTTCCCGCGCGAAAAGCTGTTCGGTACATGATTCAACGTAGCGTCTTGAAAAGTTAAAAATTATTTTGAAAGCCCGCTCGGTTTAGTTACATGTACATACATTAAGTAAGCTTATGCAACTGTGGCCGTCCTTGACCACAACTGAACCTCTTACGACACGAATTCTCGTTATGGGAGCCATCGACAAATATGGAAAGTGCATTTCTGCAAATATGGACATGGCTCATGCACGAAGACAAAGGACGGAAAATAACACACACGAGCCCTTCAAAAGCACGTGTGCTAAAGAGTTAGCCCGATCATCAAGTTCATAGCAAAGACTCCATCTAAATTTCGAAATTACACCCTGCAGGGTGTAGATGCCTCCTGATCGAAAGTTTCCCTCTATATATGCGCGTGTGTACCATCGAGAACCAGAAACACGCGAGAAAGCTTCGAAGGGAAACGGATAAGTTACGCAACAATAATCCTTTTGAGAAGATTAGATTAGGATGGACAATTTCACGCGACGGAGGGGAATAAATGTATTTAGTTCACTCTCGCGTGATCAGCAAGAAAGAAAAGTATTAGCGTAATTGGCTGAATGAGTTTTAATAATCAGTTGACTTGACCAGCAGTGCAAGCATTTACACAGAAAAAAATATTGACTATACAAATTAAAAGAAAAAAGTTATTGGACTTAACTCCTTCTTACAACTCAGTCTTTCTTCATCTTATCCTTGTGACAAGATGAACGACACGTTCCTTTTGAAATCAAACCCTTCTACGTTGCATATAATACAATGCAGACAAGTTTAGACTAATGTCGATTGGTGCTCTACAGTCTGGGGCTTTTGTGTTTCTGACAGCTGTTCACTTGCATCAAGAGGATAGTTTTTTGAAGCGTAGTTTTTTCTATCTGAGGAATGTAAGGTTTTGTAAGAAAAGTTTTGGTATCTTGCTTGGCTTTTTAAATAATTAAAACTTTTGAGATGATATTTTTTTAATCAATATAGGAAAGAAACTGACTGAAAATTATTTTTGGGGAGTAAGTTTTTTTCGGATGTGGTCTGTTTTGACAAATCAAGAATAGAAATGTTTTTGGTGCAATCTAGTATCCATTATTAACATTAATTTTTAAAAAATAGGATCAAAGCATAAAATTTAGTTCTTTGATGTATTTCGTACCATAACAAACACTAAAATTACATTATTTACAAAATTTTATGACAAAACTTAGTAGATAGGATGCTGTGATGCAGCTGATTACTAAGCAGTCTTAACAAGTATGCATCAATTGCATTTAATCAATGAAAAGCAAATTCTCACAAGTGTATATTGGGTCACCAGAACTTAAAGTTGCTGGTCTTCTACTAATTTTACAAAAGACTATGCATCTTGTGTAACTGTTGCACTATAAAAGTCACTATACAAGACACATAATTTCTTCTTAAAGACTGTTTCATGTGAGGCATCAACTGTCCACAGGTCCCAGACTAGACTAAACTCTGCCTGCTAGAGTATTGCCAGTTAGCACAAACACACAGCAGCTAAGTTACCAAAGTTATTCATGAAGAATAAACTTTCATTAAAATTCATAAGACAATGATCTCAACCCTTTAACACCCAGAAGTGATTAACATGTAACTTCTCCCAACAGTATCCATACATTATCCAGCAAACAGGTAGTGAGATTACTCAGGTACAAGATATTATCTTGATTGAACACCAAATTCTTGTAACCAATTCACAGGGAAATGTGTAGCAGCTAAAGGAGAGAATTAACAATCAGATCTTGGGAGTTGAAGGGTTAAGATACTTTTTAGAGCCCTGAGCCAGACAAGAGGGTAATGCATCTCCCTTCATTTCTACATTCTCTGGTCGACAATGCCATCACAAAAACTGCTGCATGATCATTCATCTGTTTTGGATGTTGAAAATTTAATTACTTTCTTCATATTCAGTGATCAGTGATGGCCGCTTAGCAAGATGAGTCACAAAGATCAGTCCAAGGTACCTAAAGAGGAAGAGAAAAAAAAAAACTGAATGTAGCTTGAACAGTGAAACAAGATATGTTTTTGTGACATTAATTCAAGGAAATTTGGAAGAAGGCATAGAGAGTTTTGGCAGTGGAATTTCTTCAGACAACTATATTGCTGCTGTTAGTGTTAATTCAATTTAGTTTGTCTGATATTATAGTTAATTTTAGCAGTTGCTGTACAGTCAATTGGTCAATTGTGTTCCTTAAGAAAATAAATAAATAAATAAAAAACATTTAGTATGCTACTTAGTCAAAATACTTTCAAAAAATTAGGTCATATTGCATAAGTGCTCATGAACAATTTATAACAGTTGTGAGAAAAAAGTTCAGATTTATGCTTATCTAGAAAACACACTCCAAGATGAGTTGTTTGGACAACACTGCAGAGGATAAAATATTCAAGATTACTAGAGAGTAAAATGGGAAAAATAGAAGAGAGAGTAAAAGGCAGGTGTTTACTTACCCTCTAGAAATGCCATTTCGTCATTTTCATCAACAACAGTATCTATGGAAGATATGTAGAAACACACTCTAAGCACTGGAGGAATTGTTATGTGTTTCCAGGCTCTTATCTATAAAAACCTATCCACCAGCACTTTGAATATTTCACAAATAGCTATTTACATTTGTAACAAGCCAGAACGGGCAATGTAGAGGAGAACACATACAAAACCAAGATGTCAGACCAACAAGATATATTTAATATAAGAAAACAGATGTCGTCAGTGGACCATGAGGTCATGACAGTGTCACGCAATATTGTTACAACATTAACCCTTTAACAACCAAGATCCATAGGGTTATTCTCCCAACCAACTACCATACATTTTCTTACAAATTGCACAAGAGAATTTGGTGTTATGCCAAGATAACACCTACAAGCCTATTACCATGTCTGACTTCACACAACCTGTTCACAGGACAACATATTTGAATCATAATGACTAGTTACTTGTTAATCACCTCTGCGAGATAAAGGGTTAGATTTCCATCATCTCTCATGAACACTGCAACTACTTACCAAGGTCTTTTTTTTGTATTGTTTTTCTTTTGCCCATAATTGTTCTTTTGTATGCTTCTTTGGCAACATGATCAACAAACAGCTCCTACAGCGTTAAAGAAGTGTCAAAAAAGTTTTAAATCACAGCGTCTAGGAAACACTTAGTTAATATTTTTGCCGTTTGTACATTAAATTAGTAGTCTTGTAAACAACAATAACAGAAATATTTTTTTCCTTTTTTTTTTTTTTTTTTTTTTTTTCATAGAAACTCAATGCATGTGCACCCCTTTATGGCTAAGTAGTGCAACATGGTAAGGGTTGATCAAGTAGAAATAAAAGGACTTTATATCATCCAGTTCTCTCTGTAATCATACTCGGAGTCCAGCATCGCTATTCGATTTTGCTAACCACTTGCATTACCAAAGACCGATGTACTCCACTCGGTTAGATCGCCATCACGCACTGTATGCGTAATTCCCCTATTTATCGACAGCCACGTGTTAGAGAGAGATCGAAAGCCTTGAAAACTAAATGTTAATCAGAATATCACACGTACAAACTCGACTTTCTGCCGATTTAAACTAAAGCGAACTGAAGAAGTGGTGTAAAAAGACACTCACGGCGGCTCTGGTTAGAAGAAATACCGACTCTCTGTTGGCCAAATGAAGGTCTGGATCGATCTTCATCATATTGCGAATTCTAGTTTGAGGAAACTGTGTCAGTCTCGTACGCTGATCTTCATCCTGGGTCGCTGGATTTTCTTCAACTTGCGAGCCAACTTCGGTAATTTCCGTCAGAGACTCCACCGTCTCCGCCATCTTGAATATGAAGTTGGCGGGAAAAGTAGGTTGGTTCCAGTCTACGCGCTCTTGAAAAGAGGCGTGTAGGAGGGCGTTGCGTAGGCGGGCTGAAGGGCGGACCAATCAGGTTCACGGTTGATCAGCTACGGAAAGTTTCAATTTATTTCACAATTTCAGCTCAAAATGTGCGTTGCTTTCAGAAATGTATAACTCCGTTTATGAATCGTGGGTTTGACCAGAGTGCAGTTGTGATAGGAAAATTATCCACCATTCCAGTTTCGAACTAAACTAGCACGTGTCTTTCAACTTACAATAGTACCGTACAGTCTTTTCAATCGAGTAACGATTATGGGTCAAACTTTAAAGGAGGGAGTCAATCAGGGGTTTTGGAAGTGACACGTAATTCTCTTGCACACAGTGGTCCCACCTCCGAAGGGCTTTCAGTTGAAGTGTTCCAGTATTTTTCTGAAGTAGTGTCATTTTGCAATAATACTTTTTTTTTTTCGGTGTCGCGAGTGTAGTAAATGGCTTTTCCCATTTGCGACCTAAGGAGTACTGACACAAATTGTCAACTCGTGTAAGTTATGTGATGTGTCGTATACTGGTCATTCTCGTCAAAAAGCACGATTTGATTTCGTCAGACAGTTAGACAAGAACATGCAAGATCAAAAAGTAAATAAAGATATAAATAGGGTCGATGAGCTGTGCAAGTTAGTGCTTAGGGACAATACGATCAAAGCAGTACAAAATTCTGTAATTTCATGTGTCATGGTAATTCAAATGAAAAACGAGAAAAAAGCGAACCGGGTTAGCGAGTTTTGGAAAAAAAAGGTGTGATTTGTGCCCCGCCAACCTTGCTTGGAATATTACGACAAAAAAATTCAAAAACAAAAACAAAAAAACAAAACAAAAACAAAAAAACAAAACAAAAACAAAAAACAAAACAAAAGACAAACAAACGAACAAATAATTAAAAAAAAAAGGCTTTTTATTTTTCTTTAAACTTTATTTTACCGTTATGACTTGCAAACGTCAAAAAGATAATCTACAAGTCTCAAGGGTGTGGTTTTCTTCAGACATTAAGACGAGTTTCTTTCAATTCTTTGTTCCCTCTGAATATTTACAATTTTGACAGAGACCAATCCTGCCTTGCATCCCCTCCCCCCACTCCCACTCCCAATAAAAAAGAAAGAAGCAAACAAAAATGAATTACATGAAAATAAAAAATTCATCAACACTCCCAAAAAGAGGCTTTCCAGTATCAAGCAAAAGAAGTGTTTAACAAAGAGAGACCAGCCCTGAAGAGGAGCAAATTCAAGTAAGCACCATTTGCAGAAACTCTATCCAGACGATCGCAAAAAGGAAAAAAAAAACAAAAAAAACCAGAAAGAAAAAAAAAACCCGGACGAACAAATAAGATAACTTACAGCCCACTTATGACAAGAGGAAGACCAATTTGATTCGAAATGTAAAAAAATATTTTCCCCTCTGTTTCAGTTCCACTTATTAGATTAATTTGAATATGGTTGGATCAGTGAGGCTGATTTTACGTCTGAAATCGAATGTATTTTGGACTATTTGCCACCATAAAATTTTCGTATTGAATCCGACACGGATAACTTAAACTTTTCGAATGGAGCACAAACAAATTAACATTGTTTCATGCTTTACACCAGGGTGAACAGAAATCGATAACCTGGGAAAGAGATTTTTAAACAACGATTCCTTAGAGAAAAAATATACCTTAATTTGGATCATTGTGAAATTGATACGTCAAATTAGATTCGAGTAAAAGCCATGCTTTTTTAAAATATCATGTACATAATTTCGTAGATTTAATTGTTTATATTTATTTTTAAATGTGTTTGAAATCGTGACATTCTAATCTGATGCTCCTCCTGTTAACTCTTCATTCACCTCTCCTTGGTCTCTGTGCTCCACGTTACACCGCTGGCAATTATTACCGTGGACGAATCGCTGTAGCTTCGTGCAAGGGGGGTGACCCCAATCCTGAAAGAAATGACGTTAAAAATTTTAAAAAATAACAAAGGCTAACTTGAGTCTCGGAAGTATGAACTGATGTCGTTTCCAGCGCCTGACATTCCAAAAGCCACGCTTATCTGAGGGAGGGTTTTTTCGTTGCTAGTCGGATGTTCCGAGTCTAGTTTAAAGACACTGATTGGTCGGTTTTGACGTGAAGTCATTGTCTTCGAGACTCACTTCACCTACTTCAGTTGTCAATATCGATCTGTTAGTAAAGCGAGGTTGCCCTTTTGGGTTAGTTACTTAAGTTAATGTCGTGTTCCAACTCTTTACTCACAAATACTAGCAATGTTTGTGTCAGTGCTCATAGGCACCGTTTAGTTCTCGATATCACACGCATTACACTGGTATTGTCAACTAAAGAGCCGGTTTTCGCTTCATATCCCCCTTCTCCATGCTTCAAATACACAACGCAGCAGCTAGTAAATGTAACGCAGCCATTCCTACCTTTATCCTCTCGTACGTATCGCTGATGATACCAATGAACAAACTGAGGACCACGTAAATGAACAGTGAGATGAAGGTATACAGGTAGATCTTGCTGAAAACCCAGGCAGCGTAGCTCTTCTGATTCATCTCTGCAAACGTCATGAACATGTCGTCTCCATTGATTAACGAGAACATGCATTCTGATACGGTCCACAAGTCACGGAACTGAGGAAAGTGAAGAGACGGTGAAACATGACAGAGCATGAAAATTTTGTATTTTCTAGGATCCCTAATATTTAACATAAAATTGGCACACTCGCCACTGAAAATGGTGTGTTAATCTTCTTCATTCTCTAGGTTCCTTGTTGTGTTCTTAAATTTTGCGAATTTTAGAAATTTTCCTACCCTAGCAAAAAGTAATGTGTAAATGCAGTTCGTGTCTTTCCAAGACGCGAGTTGACTTCGGGCTCCTTTTCGCTACCAAAAATTTGTATCCTTGCGCAGTTCAGATAGAGTATTCGTTTTTTGATGTATTTAATATCATCCGTATATTTTCTACTTAAGCCATATCATCTAACTCGTATTGATCGCGTAGCCGGGGACATCGTGCCTTCCTTACTGATGTTCGATGCTAATGAACCAGAAAGCAAAGTAAAGAATGTGCGACAATTCTTTAAGGACGTGTTTCCTTACAACCATCGTAAATACGTCACGCAACTCGGGAAACTCCCACTCGAACCCTTCGCTTGGCTCGTCACGTAACAAGATAGAGCAAGTTGTGTGACGAACCCAAACGACAACTACCGTCATGACATGGAGTCTGCCGCTCAAATTTGTTCACTGCAGTTATTTCGACCACAAAATGTATAGAGCATTGTGTGACGACAAGTCTAACAACTGCGTAACGCTTACGGAAAATAATTCGCGGCATACCTTCTCATGATAAGGTCCAAGAACGATCCAACCACAGAAAAGATAACCAAAATACAACAATGAACCACACACTGAAAAACGCAGCACGCTGGGTGCAGCTGCTTTTAAAGTAACCAAAAGAATCTGCAAGAAAATATGGTTTTTGACTCAGACGGGATTGATTATTTGTTTAATTACTCAATGTTCTACCAAGGGAATGATCGTAACGATAATGCTGTTGAAAAGTTCTATAAACGTTAGGATCTTTTTCGCGCTGATTGCCTGGCTCAGAGGGGATTTGCGGAGTAATATTCACCTAAATACTCGAGCAACTGCAGAAAAACTCAGAGGCTTCCCGTTTCGGTACGACTGCCAAATAAGAAATTATTATTTTCGAAGAAAGTGGCAGCTGTTCCAAACGTACGAAAATTGCACGGTAAATAACCGCCATTAAACACTTCCACTTCGGTGAATAATTGCTGAAATTAAATAAAATCAGAGCTTGTCATGGATTTCAAATACGGGCTAGCAATATGCGGATCTTAGTTCTGTCCTGCCAAGACTTTCCCGTTTCTCATGAAAAGTCAAACATGTATCATCCAATCCTCGAAAGAACCCAATTTTTTCCTTATCACTAATCTTTGCAGATCGGATATCTTGATTTAACTTACATTGTACTTCTTCAAATGACCGAGGTATCTCAACAATCCACACCAGGTCAGCAAAACCGCCACCCCGAGGAATATGCTGCAAAGATCGTAAACTTCTTGCGTAACCTACAATACAGATACACGGGTTAGAACCCTCGTTAGCAACACAAAAATCAGAACTGAATCTCCACTTATCTCTTTTACCACTTCGCAATAAATGATACTCACATATCCAGAACATTCAGTTGCTCTGAAAAAATGGTACTCGTTGATGGAAAGCGGAAAATAGGGGCAACACATTTATTAAATTAGTAATTAATCTCCACCTAACTTTGTTGTCACTACATGAATTGGAAATATTACTAGTTTGTAGAGATGCAAGGAGGCGGGGGAAGTAGTGAGCTACATCTCCCCCCCCCCTCCCCCCTCCGTCGCTAAGGGAAGTTGTATTTGAAAACTCTTCTGAAATATAACTGGCTCCTTTTTGATCCTAGAATGATTAAGGCTTTCTAATTCTCGCACGAAAGTTGAATGAAGTGAGTCTTGCGGCTTAATTCCCATACCATGACGAACAGGAGACCTGCTACTATCCCAAGAAGGGAAGCTAGTCCATGGCCAATACCCCCTCTTCCCAGTGACTGGCTAAAATTCCAATATCATATCACCTTTGAAAATCTCTCGGAAAGAAGTGTGCCACCGACAGAACAAAACTTTCCATAACATAGAGATAAGCCTGTGAGAGCGAGGTCTAGGTTAACTATACAAAAGGTGATAAGTCTATTTGATTGTTACAAAAGAAAACTCCTTACGTTTAAGTCGATCAGAAATTTCATCACGGATCCAAAGATAGCGCAGGTGTCACTGATGGCAATCAACACAAACCACAAGTTCATAAGGTCTAAACAGTCATACCAAGACAGGTGGTCTCCAAGTTCCCGAGAGAAAAATCTTCGGGTTGCCTGAAATAGAACAAAATATCATTCAAATTTGTAACGCAAATAGGTTTAAAGAGAGAAAAGATCTGGGTTGGAAACTTGTTTTTGATTATTTATGATAGCATGCTCCATTAACGTACAAGACCCTCCCAGCGGCTAGTGTGCCGATCGGAAAAGGGTTCAACGGTCTAAGTTCTCGAGAGAAAAATCTCCGGTTAACCTGAAATACATCATTTAATATCATCAAAATTTGCAACGCAAATAAGTTTAACGAGAGAACAGATTTGGGTTGGAAACTCATTTGTGGTTATTTAAGATGGCATGCTTCATTGACGTACGAGATTCTTCCAACGGCTAGTGTGCCGATCGGAAGAGGGCTCAAGATGCTTGGAAGCTCTTTCAAATCTCTTTTTGGGAAAAAAAAAGCGATCTTCTCGGGAGAAAACCTGTCACAATGGCGTACTATAGAATCCCATACAAGAGGAGAAACAATTACCGTAGTCTTAGTTACTCTCGATTTCTGTGCGTGAAAATTGATTCGGGCTTTACCCTCATCAGCTCAGGCATTTTGAATGGTTCTAAGTCATGATCTATCTATACACAAACGCAAATATAACGTCACCTTCAACAAGAATTTGCTTTCATATCATATCGTGCGTCTGTTTAGTAATAGATGACAGACGTCAATATGTGATAGGAAAATCAGTGACACTCTGCTGCGCCTAGTGTGCATTCCACATGATGGCGTCATCTGACCGTAAGGGTCATATTACGCTTTGAACAACACAAGCATTCCCAAGAAGCCACCAAGGGGGTTAAATTCTTAAACTCAGACAGTGGTTTCGACCAATTTAATGTTTTACCTTTACAAGCTGCAAGTGGCGGAAGATTGAACGTAAGCACAGGGTTACTGAGAGAATGCACCAGATTATTAGCAAAATGTCCACAAATATGCGCAGTGTTTTGGATGTTTGATAATCTAAACAACGATCAAAGCAAAAACAATATATATAAATATATATGTGTATAAAGCACAGGGTTACTGAGAGAATGCACCAGATTATTAGCAAAATGTCCACAAATATGCGCAGTGTTTTGGATGTTTGATAATCTAAACAATGATCAAAGCAAAAACAATATATATAAATATAAATGCGTATAAACCAAAATTCTTAGGCGTAAGAGGCAATACAAAGGAGCTAGTTTTAACTTTTTAAAACCTCTTTCACCCCTGAGAGTGATTGGCCTCTAACTTCTCCTTACAGTATGAGCCTTGATCAAACGTAGAGGTCAGGAGAGAAATGGAAATGATCAAGCTCCTTATTGTCAAACAAATTCTCTTTTCCCTATCAGGGATGTGGATAATAGCCGGGAAAATTACTCGGTTGTGAAGGCGATTTTTCCGGCTGTGAAGTACTACTTCTTTCTCCAAAATGTTTTTAAATGTTGTCAGAAGATTGTTATTTATTTATTTCATTTGTTTACACCTTCAAATCTAGGTATAGCGTGCCAAAGGCACGCTAGAGTGGGCCTTCGGCCCAAATACCCGCCCATCATTGCAAGATTCCCGCCTGTTAAAAACTTTAGCTATATCCCTGCCTATATAATTGAAGTTTTTGATCTGCCCGCAGGCATGACACCTGGTAGGTATATTTTTACAGCATACATCTATGCGTCTGCAGTTTGTATAAAGAGAACAAAGTTAGTGTTTCTAGTACCTTCAACTCCTTGATAAGTTGAGTTACTAGTAGCGCAGGCATTTGTATTGCTTCCATAAGAAATCAAAGTAACAGGCACCTTTCCATCGTGGTTACTATTATCAAATAGTATCTGCAAATTTAAAGAAGAAATTCTTATAATATTTTCTAAAATTCTAGGCCCGTTTGTTTGAAGACCTATTGGCCATAACCCAAGGATAAACTTTTATCCAGATTTCTTTATTCCTTTTCCAAAAGCCTTGTTGGGATAATTTCCTCTTTTCTTTTTAGAGCACCTAATTGTTAAATTTTAGACAAAATTATTCATAATGAATTTTCTTTTAAAGCTATTAGATTTGAAATCTAATTTCACACTAATCCTGGGTTCTCTTAGCCCAGCTTCAAACAATCTGGCCTTAGGTTCATTTCTTTGTTTGAGGTTCAGGTCTTTTACCTTGTCCCAAGCTTGGGTCATAAAATGATTTCAAACTTGTTTGGGTTTAAAAATAAGATGATTTGGTTTGATCAACTGAGTTGATAATGTAAATTGGGTACCGTAAAGAGTTTGAGGTGACATTTCGAGTGTTTGCCCTTCATCGGAGCAAACGCAAAGGGCAAACACCAGCTATAGAAACTCTTTGTAGTGGCCAATTGACTCTATCAACTCAGTTGATCAAACCAAATTATCTTATTTGACTTTCTGTTCTTTGTCGATTTGTCTTCCCATAAGCCAATCAAATTTATACTCTTGACCTTCAACAAATAAGAAACAAATACTGACGACCAAGTTTACAGAAACTGGCTTGCAATTTGCACTTACAGTGACATTGAACTTGTAGCATACTGGTTTTCTAGGAGGCTCTTGCACATGAAGAGAACGCAATCCAACATACAGAGAGATACTAATGATGCTGAAAAAGGAAAAACATAAAAATAAGCAAAAATTTCTAGGAATGCTTTATAAGAGTCACCACAGCAGTACATATGTATGTCTAATCTTTACCACAACATGCATGCTATCCAAACACCAAGCTGCAACAGGTCTACGCCATTACAAGTGTCATAAAATATTTTGATCACTAAATTTTCAGCAAGCATGCCAATTGGGCAAACTCAGGTTTGGCAGCCATTTGTAGGTCTGTATAAATTTTACTCAACTATTTTTAGTTTAAAGTTTACATGTTATGTGATTTGCATACAGCACTATCACTGCTATACAATTATTCCTTGTGCTAATCCAAATGAATAACCAAGCCAAACAGGGTTCCTGTGGTTGCTACCCATACTTTATATCCAATACATACAATGTATCTTAGGTAAAACTTAAAACAAAAACATACAGTTCAAATGTTTCCTCAGCTTAAATCAAAGTTTTTTCTTCTTCTTCTTCCAAACAGTTTAAATAATATTCTTTTGTTTCAAACAAAGACTAAATATCACCAGCTAAAACACAGGTGAATAATAAACAGTGAGTTTGAAACGTATTTACCAAGCCAAGCTAACATTTCAGCCACAAAATATAAAACAATGTTACAAGTTTTTCAAATGATTTAGGTTGTTAAATTACCCTTCAAATGACTCAGGAAGCTTGTTTTGTTTTAAGAAGTATGTGATGTTTTGATCAGATGCATTTGTTTTTAACAAAGGATGGCAAGCTGTATATTCATGTGTAAAGGAAATTTCATTAGATATATATATATATATATATTTTTTTTTTAGATGTTTTGGTGTGTAGTGGTATCGCTGAGTATTTTTGCAAGTTGTGCCATATTCTGAAGAGCCTAGAGGGAGAGTCAAACATGAACAACAAGTAAAAATACTAAGCAATACTACACACCAAAATGTCTAATGAGTTACTAATTCTCCAACTTTTTTTTTTTCCTACTCATTTCTCGTAAGGCAGAAAAGCAGATAGAGAAATGTAGCGTGCCCAGCCGACCACACACAAAAAGATTTTCCAGCCCTGATTTAATTGAATTAAACAGAATTAGTAATTTGACATTTGACATCAAGTCATTATATGGTAAGGATACAATAGCCTGTCTTTCGTGTAAAGTAATAAGACTCTTTTTCTGGGTCCACAGAACTATTGATGTATCGATGCGTGCACAACAATGGTGGATTAATCTTGCCATCTTTTTTCAGATACCCAAATGTTCCAACAGCAATGTCTTGGATTTGATAATACTAAAAGACAGACTAAGAGTGTTAGACCAAACACTTAATCCTTTAATTTCCAGATCTGACTGCAAATTCTCCTCTCTAACCACTACACATTTCCTTGTAAATTAGTTACAAGAATTTGGTATCAGATCAAGATAACACCCTCTACTTTCAAGATAAAATTAGGCATTCTCATTACCTGCTTTTTGGATAACGGATGGATATTTTACAGAGAAGTTACATGTTAATCACTTCTAAGAATCAAAGAATTAAAAACAATGGAAACATTTGAAAAGAGGATGATGCAAGTCACCTGATGACTTTCCAACCTGAGTCAACCACAAATTTTTACCGCAATTGGCAGTAATAACACAATCTGACCACCAGGCAACTAACGAAAATAGATGGCCCACATGTATGTGCATACATGTACTAAGAGGACTAATTAACCAACTAAACAACATACTGACACAAACAGGGCTAAAATTGGGAGCTCTCACCACAGCTCAAAACCCTGATCACAAGCTAAGTCATTGTATATCTCACACAGTGTTCCAGAAAAAATTCCAGACTAACCTGTCTAACAGTGTGACGGACTTGAGAGTAAAACTGGTCCTTTGTGTAAATTGAGTAGTCTGACTGATTGGGGTTGAGAAGGAACAGGTAATTAAATGCTTCCTCACTACCTTTCAAAAAGTTAACAACAGAGAAAAGCTCTGAGGCATAGAGGGACACCTGCCAAAACAAAATAAAGATAATATTACAAATTAAATCAAATTCCTCAATCCTTATGATGCCAAAACCTGTTTGGTAGTCTTGCTGTGATAATTTTACCTTTTTACAAATTGATTTGATCCTTCCAATCAATTACAAATCTTGATGCCTGGCATGCAATGCATTCAAAATATGTTCTTCACAGATAATTTCAAACAAAAATGTGTAATCTTGAACAAAAAAAAGTGGAGGAAAAATGGCAAAAAGAAAAAGCAGCTGAGTGTCACTAATATTGTTATCACATTCTGACATCATCTGTGATCTGTTACCATCCAAAGGCAGCAACATGGAATTTATCTGATTTACATTATACAGAAGCAAAAACTGGTTAATCGTTTAACTCCCATGAGTGACCAAGACAGAATTTCTCCTTACAATATCAATACAATATCAAACAGATAAGTGATGGGAATGGAGAAAAATATCAATTTGGGGATAATTAGTAGATCCAATACTGAATTCTCTGAAGTAACATTATATGGATTGTATGGTTGACAGTAAGGAGAATTTCAAATTTGATCTGGGAGTTAAAGGGTTAATATTGATGTCAACCATGTGTCTGTACTTTACTTTGAAGTAAAAACCAATCAAAATGTGAGCATAATTCAGCCTATCAAATGTCAACCCTTAACATCAGTATGCACATTCTCCATTCTGTTTTCTACACATTTCCTAAGATACTAACAAGGAAAATTTGTTTAACAATCTAGTGCTTCTTTAGTTTTTGATGATTTCCATATTCTCTAGACCTAAATGTGTGATTTGAGAGTGATACTGTTGGAGCAATCAGATGCTGGTCACTCTTAGTGGTTAAAAGGTTCCCCCTTTTACCACTAAGAGTGACCAGCCTTAAAAATATTGATACTAAATGAGAAGACACCAGGTTTCAAAAGGGACTTAAGTGAATAGTCAGCTTCAGTAGTCATTATGACTCACTGGGTATTTTACTAATACCTAAAAAGATATTCTGGATCTTTTTTTTTAACATGAGAAAGCATGTTTCTATCACATGACAAGCTAATTTTGGTGTCTGACTTAGCACTTTGAAACTGAAATTGTAACAGACCTAAGAAGAATTATATACAACATATACTAGCAGTGGTGAAATATGTAATTTGAACATTTTTTTTTTTTTGGAATATGCCTCAAATAACCTTTCTTAGCTAAAAACTCAATTAGCAGAATTTTAACAAAGGGTTTTCAACTCCAAGACAAGTTTTCCCTTCACCTCCTCTTCTCTCTCCCACTCACAACAAAAAGCTCTTTCATCCTCCCATGCATGAACAATGATATCAAAAAAGCAAACAAGCAAACAATGTGTAAACTAGAATAGGAATTCTGGTTCACTACAAGATCATGATCAGGAACCACAACACAGAAAAACAACTGAAACTGAAAGTGCTCATGACATCACATCACCAATACATTTCAATCCCATTGTTCAATTTCCACAAAAGACTTCTCAGAAAAAGAATGATTTTTCCCTCGTTCACTGGAAATTACGATATGGCCTAGCTCAGTTAGCGAGTCTTGTAACACTACAGAGAGAAATGCAATGTATCGAGTATGGTCCGATCGTCGGAGCCTTAGGGTAGTCGTAAACAGGATTGATACCGGATCGCTGGTACAACTTTAACTGCGACTTACAAGATTTCTCTCACCCGGACAATCTGAATACACAGCAATTGTCATTTCTTGGTTCAAAACGTTCACCGTTATACAAATATGTGGACGTTAAAGAATTCAGTTATGTATCAAGCATGGCTTGAATTAAAAATTGAAAAGTTACTACAGACTTCGTAGTTGTAAATATAAGGTTTGACGTTGAACGGAATCAACTAGATCATGAGTGAACTAAGAAAATAATTACTTCCACGTTACATTTAGTCAAGCAGAGGAATATGAATTAATAACGTATCCAAACAATAATAATGAGTTTACCTGGACAGTAACCATGATTAATTTGAGCAGTTGTAGTAAAAGCTTCCAAGGTTTTCTTCCACGATGCTTGTACTTTTGGTACGGATTCATGAAATGCGATTTGAGTCGTTTTCTCATGACTTCGATGCGATTTCTCTGGCCACCGTTGAACTCAGAAGAATCATAAATCGATTGATAGTGGACCGAACCTTCAAAACTGGTTCTGCGAAGAAGTGGTTCGCTAAATTCATCGAAACCAGAGCTAAAACTGTCCTGTGTCGACCCATGATAAGATCTGGCAAGATGACGGGCAGATCTTGATGAGACTGTCGGTAAAATGACTCGGCTACCCATTGCTGAAGAGGATAAAACGGTTTAGCGATGGTTAAAAGTTCGAGAGCGAGTTCATAGCCAAAGATACTATCCTTCCGTCGATACGTACCCTCTCCTTACGTAACGGATGTTTTCAGTTAACTTAACAGCATTTCAAGTGTTAGCGACATGAGTAAAGGCAGCAATAAACTCCTCAGTCTTGAATCTCTTTTTAGGTTAACCATTCAAGCACAGAACACCTAAGAGAGTTTCTTTCTAAAGAAACTTACAGCTTTTGAGATCGTCTTCGCCAAGTCACGTTACTTTCATGCATCTCAACTCTGTAAATAGACCATTTGAAATATCCCAGCGTTCATCGCGTACGGTAGGAATTTTCCACAATTTTTGTAGGGGGGAGGGGGGGGGGGGAATGGCGGTAGCCTGCTGAGAGACAGCGATCCCGCTATTTTTATTGCCTAATAAGGGATTTATAACGAGGAGGGTTAAGAATGCGCGGTAAATCTATATTTCAACCTACTCGATAATTTGGAATAAGAGAGATGGTAAGTTTTGTGATCGGTAAAGAAATAGAGAAAGATGTTTTTCGTCTTGTCACGAGCGTGGGACAAAGAAAATATTCTGACGAAAAACATCTTTCCCTATTTCTTTACCGAGCTCAAAACTTTCCATCTCTCTCATTCTGACGCTATCGGTATTGCTGATCCTAGCAGTATGCAGGACGCAAGTAATACGAACTTCGTAATAGACCTCGCTGACCGAAGAGTCTCTGTGGCTCAGTGGTAGATCATCGGAGCGCGGGCTCCGAAGGTCTGAGGTTGGATTCCTCATGGAGACTCTTTTTTTCTTTTTCCTACGCTCGTGTAAAGACGAAAAACGTCTTTTTTATATACGATAATTTGTTAGCGTACAAGAAAATCGTCGCCTCCAATCCGGTGACCATGGAAGCCTAGTGACGGACTGACTGCACAGCTGGAGAACATATCAGTTCTTCACATAGTTCACGTGTTCACGTGTTTGTCATGCCTGTAACGGGAGATATGTCGTTAGAAAGGCACTCGCCTGATCACAATTAGTAAAAGCTCTACTCAACAATTTCACCAAACTTCCTTAAAAATTGATTATTCGTCAAACACGTGCGACAGAACTGAAGACATGACAAAAACATGACAGTTTTCCCTTGAAGTTCGTGTGAGTGGTGTAGAATTATTATTACCGATGAACTGAATCATGCGACTTCCAAGCGACAACCATTTGCGTGAGATTTTATGCCAGCCTCAAATTATATCCTGGAGAGTTGCGCCAAGACACCAAAAACAATTTATACGCCTATCCACCCCACCCCCCCAAAATCAATCCACTCCTCCAGCGGAAGTTCCTTTAAAAGCTATAACTGAAGCGTTTTTGCATCAAAGCCACGCGTGGAATTTTTCAGTATTACTGAATAAAAGTGTGTGTGTGTGTGTGTGTGTGTGACTGTATTTCGTACAACAGATAAGTAAAGTCTAAGTTTAGGAATGAACGTTAAAGAAAATGTTTGTAAGATCTTAGTTTAACAATGCCACGAAACCACTGCCTGCGTTAAGATAAAATTTTATTCAACATGTTCAAGGGTAGATGATTTCCAAAATGATCGCATTACGATCTAGACACCGGTGAGATAAAAATCACCTTTGTCAAATTAGATATAAAAAATTCAAGCTAAAATGATGTTAAATCTGTAAAAAAATATATCTCAAAGTAAACAAAACTATTCAAAATTTTATGAATGGTGCAACAAGCATACTAATTTTGAAAAGCAGTTGAATCTAACTTTTTATTCAACAGACTTTTCCAGATTCTTCTGTAGAGCCATGAATTACAAACGAAATATGAAAGGTGCAAGTTAATTATTGCGCAATTAAAAACGATGTACTCTCCCCTCTAAATTCTATTTTACAAAATCTTTGATACTCGATTAACATTGCTGTACTTCAAAGATCAGCAACATTCCCCACTTTCATGCAAGACCAGCGACGTACTTAGCGATTTCGCAAGCCGATCAAGGCGATCGGCGAAAATCGCCAGGTGTGCCCTGTGCTGCGATTGCGATTTTCGCGGACCGCCGCGATTGGCATTTAATACCGCCGATTTCTCTGCATGTCATATATCGGCGATTTTCGTCGGCGATCAAATTCGCCGCGATTGGCGAATAAAATCGCCAGGTGTGTCGTCAGCTCCCATTGAATGTGGATAGCTTCTTTGATTTTAAGTTGGTAAGTTGTGGAAGCGTGATCTAAGATGCTAAAATAGTCATCAGAACCTCGAGTGCGATATTCAATGGGAGCAACCCACACTTAATCATCAACTTTATCATGTTAATTTAAAATTTTCCTTGTAATTGCATACATTGTTCTAGCTGTCACTATTATTTGTTTTGTCCAATCAGCATTTTGTTATACACTTTAAATTCAACTTCGTACTTTGTAAAATCAGAACTGAAGATGATAGAAGAACTGTCGAAACATGTTTCTAAAAAAGTGTAGTTTATTTTCTTTAATTTGTTACATATCTGCTGCTATCCAGACCTTTTGGTAATTCTGTCTGCAATCTACCTAATGGGATAATGGCGAGAGACACAATAATGAATTTATTCCACTTTTTTAAAGTAGAATTAGCATTTGAAGGCAAGCATCCAATAACATCTGTAACAATTATTTCGCAATATTACTATTACGAAATAATAACAGTCATTGGATTGAAATGACGCTTGTAATTCTAAAATCATTGTGTGATCAATCGACTTCCTGAAAAAATCAAGTTCCTATTGCTGTCATGTAGAAACCCTTCGTTTCCTCTTTTCTGCGGTTCTCTGTACATATATAACGGAAGATATTTTGCAATAACACTGCAGAAAACCACTTCAGTAAACCACTCCACGAACAGCAAATTGTTTACTCTTCATAAAAACTTCACAACATCAACTTCCCGAATATTGTTAATTCATTTGAAGTGCGCGACTTAACAGTTTTTTTTCCTTTGTTTGGTCAAAAATACTATTCATGCGTTTGCATTACAATTATTGTAATTACCCATAACGAGAAACATGAAACCTCTCAGCGAAGAGCAATTGCGTGGGATTTTTTGCTAACCTCAAGTTACGTCCAAGATGAGTCTCAGGAAAGATGAAAAAAAGAGTTGGATAGGCTAACTTATTTCTATTATGTGGTTTGAATTCAAATTTATAACAAACAGAGTCACCAAGGTTCTTCTTAACGCTATGCTTTTATTTCGACAGGATTTACAAAAGGATAAAGACCAGGTGCAAGTTATTACGTAACCTAAAACAATGTATCGTCTTCTTCGTGTTCCACTCATTAATTTTTTTCATTCTCGATTAAACCAGCTATTTTTCAAAAATCAGCAGCATTCCCCGGCTTGACTTTGTGATCATATCAGCGGAAAACGACAGAATTACGGATACGCTAAATGGGAGCTGTTGAAATCGATATATTTTAATTCAACAATGATAATCACAAGACTAGCTGTCATCCTGACGGAGGTCAAAGAAGATTTAACCCCGCGGACAACAAAGTTCTTGAGTGATTGTCTGCTTTACCGCTTTTCTAACTCCGGTAATCTTCCAGCAGTAGAGAAAAGGGTTTAAAGATGATTTGAAGAAAAATAAAACAACCGTTATTCCCCAGATGACGATGAAATGTGATGAATATGTTTGGCTATGGTTGATTACATTCGCCTGTATGTTGTATGGTAAAAAACACACAGCTAATGCTAACTGCACCCATATTGCACTGTACACTGCCTTTTTATACCGCGCGATGTTCAGAGCATTTGATTGGCTTGCCTGTTGATCTTGCACTAGAGCATGATGGTGAGTGAGATTGCAGAAAATCTTTGCGTACGAGGCGATTGAGATCAGAAGACAAGATGGGGTTAGGATTCGACCAAGCCAAAAGGATATACGAGGATCCAAGATGTACAATAAACCAGCGAAACCTGATACCAGCCATAAGGCGGCCACAATTATTCTCACGCGCTTCAGAGTTACAATTTGCCTGTATCTTAGTCTCAATGACAAGGCCAGAAGTCTGTCAACGCTTATGGCCGTCGACGTGAACAGGGAGACTAGACATAACGCAAAACCCGCTATGTGGACTGTGTCATATAGGTTTCGACAGAGATTCCATTCCTCGTGAACCAAGGACATCCAATAGGCAGCAAAGAGAGGCTGACTAACAACACCAACCAACAGGTCAGATGCTGCCAGACAACGATATAAGAGTTTGGACGGCGGATGGAGGGAAGATTCCTTATGAAGGGCGACGAGGATGAGAAAATTCCCAAGAAATGCTGTAGTGGAGAGGATAATGTTAACCACTGAGAAAGAGATTAATTCCTGTCGTAATTCACCAACCAATGATTGAAAACAGAACTGCTCTTGAAAGGTATTCGGGTGCATTCCATCTTTCGTAGAACTGTTTTTTAAAGTCATTCTCTCAGTCATTTTCTTTTCCTGGAGGCTACCACCGATCGGAACGGGAGAGATTTCGTCTTACTAACACTCGCCTCACTCGTAAAATATGCCTTCCTGACAATGATAATCACATTAAGCAAAGCGCGAGACAACTGTCTGTTGTTTTTATCAATAGTTTTCTTTTATGTGTGAGTGTGCCTCAGGTACGAATTTACATTATGTGGTGCAAATTAAAACACCCTCTTATTCAAATACTAAAATTTCCATTGACAGGTTAGGTGAAATATCATTTTTGTATTCTCGAAGGTCTTTAATCATTATCAGTCTCGGCAAAAGGAAAATAAAAACTTTTAGCTGAGTCGAGGTAAGAGTATGATTACGAGTTATATTTGAAAGCGAGAGAAATTTCCTCATTCAGATTGGCTGAGAGAAATGCAGTTTTCAGGTAAAATAATTCCAAGGAGAAGTAATCAATTCAGTTCATGTATATATGACAAACAATTCAGCCGGAATAAAAGAAAAGAATATCAGAAGATTATTACTTGTTTGAACAGAGTTACGTTGACCAAATGTTCATTGGTCTTTTGAGAGTTTATATGAATCATTTCTGCTTTGTTTTGCTTCTATATACTAATTGTGAGATGCTTTCTCATTTTTTTTCCCATGAAAAACATCTGAATATCTATTAAACGTATCAAACTGGATTTTCCCTACAGGCTCGTACAGTTTAGCAGGTTATTTAGAAAATTCCTGTTGCCTATCTATTCCATACTGCACTAGAAAATATGTGATAACCTTTTAGCTGCCACGTAAACAGCAGGAAAACGATTTTCTTTTTGCTCTAAATTCTTTTGATGATATTGAATTGCGGTTTCAACTCACATAGCTTGGAACAGGGTAATTTAGTATTATCAGCATAACAGAAATTGGCCACCGGAAAGAGTTTCAAAACTGACTTTTCGAGCGCTGGCGCTTCGTCAGAGTGAATGGAGGGACTGTGGGTTGTGTGTGTGTTTATATGCAAAAAATAGAGATGCTGGAATGAAAAGCGCTCGTTGATACCCTGATCATTAAGAGTGCCGACTTGAGAGATAAATTTTTGCTCTAGAGTTTTGCGGCTTTCCGGACTGACTAGATGTAGGGAAAAGCCGCAATGAGATTCAAGAGTCAAGCGGCTAGTTTGGATGCGTCCTTGTCATTTCTTTCTACGTCGCGAAGGTGTTCTCGGAATCGGTCACCTTGTCGTCTTTCTATTTCATTGATGTATAACTTTTTGCAATAAGTGTAAGTTATGCAGTAGATGACATTGGCGGAGGTTTACGTGAAGTGATCAGTAATCTTGATGTATCTCTTGGGTCAGACATTTCCCAAGTATTGCATCGTGAGCGAGCGCTTTTAAAAGTTCCAGGTTGTCGTTAGTTTAAAATGAATTTCTGACCAAAAAAGTTGCGTATGTTTTTGTCGCGTTTGAATGAAATTAGTGAAGGTTGTGAAAGAGATAGTCGCAAACGCTTTTCTGAGCGAAGCTTGAGAAAACTGTGAGCTTTTACGAACAGACTAACATACGATCGAGCATATTTTCGAGCCATTACAGGTTATTTTGTTCATTACCCTTCAAATGTTTTGCAACGCGCGGGAAAAAATCTTACGTACTTCTTTCATTGCGTTTTTATCCATCATTCATTCGTTTTCATTCCACTCTATTCTAAATGATCCAACTCAAAAGTGGAAGTTGGTTTACTAGGGCGAGAAATTGCATTCTACATAAATTTGCTTTTCGATTATTTTCCTTTGTTACAAAGCGAATTTGGAAATAAGATGGGGAACGGTTTTTTTTTAAAATACACATGACAACTGATTGGGGCTAATATTTTTTCTACTCATTAGATAACTCAAGAATATTCCCCTTCAGTTATCAAACTAACTTTAAGACCGTGTTAAAAACAATGATCCTAGTCTGAATTCGATTCTGATGGATAATTCAAGACATTTTACCTCGAGTAAAAATTTTGATCGAAACTTGTAACTTGCTGGTTCTTAAATAGATAGTGGTCATATCATATCAAACATTTCAAGCTTGAAAAGATGTGTTTTTAGTAGCGAATGATATTTTTATTTTCATTAGGGAAATTTCATATCAAGGTAAGAGGGGAGAACGATTTTTGAGAGACAGGCACTAATGGCCGTGCTATGGAAACCAGGAACATTCACATCATTACATCATTTCCGCAGGTGATACAATATTTGGACAAGAAAACTTTTTCATAACTTTGTCTCCTTTCAATTCAGTGACCCGCTTTTGCGTCCATCCGTGATGGTTATGGCGAAAAATTTTCCAATACTTTCCTGTGGAGGACTCAGAATTTCTTCTTCGTCTTACGCACCAGACAAGACGAAAAATATTTTTCTTTAGTTCAGTACCGTGGTCAAAATTTATCATCTTACTTATTCTATTTGCTTCATCTATAGTGCCAAAAAATATTGGATTAGATAGTGAAATCAAACATCAAGTTTGTTTCTAAAATATATAAGTTGTTGTCACCATTATAAACACATTACTGGTGAGGTATGGTTGGTATTGCGATTCTTTACTCTACCCTTGATCATTAGAAAAAGACAATAGATCTAAACCTGACAGCTTCTACTAATAAAATCGTTTCTTCTCTTCCTGCAGCCGTAATTTCATCAATCAGCTTTTTCAGTATTGATACTTGTGTAAGTCAGAGGAGAGTTAATTCAATGGACAGCACAATGCTTGGCTAATTGTCTGCTTTACTGCTTGTTTCATCTCACTGATCCTCCAGCAGTATAGGACGGGGTTTAAAGCCGAATTAAAATAAAATAAAACAAGTGCCATTCCCCAGGTGACGATTAAATGTGATGAGTATGTATTACTAGATGCGATCACAATTCCCGATATGCCTATTGGCAAGTAACAACCAACTAATGCTAACTGCACCCATAGTGCACTATACACTGCCTTTTTGTATCGCAAAATGTTTAGTGGATTTGGTTGGCTCTGTTGTTGTTGTTCTACTTGAGCCTAGTGATGACTGAGAACGCAGAAAATCTTTGTGTACGAGGCATAAAATAACGATCCTAAAAGGGAATCAGTTGTTCAGCGAAAAGAAATTTTACGACAATTCATCCTGCCTTATAGCCCAGAAGGTCTCAAGATAGATCCGAGGGTGGAAATGTTACTCAAACGATATTAATTCAAATATTCTACTCACGGGAGACAATTTGTGTGCAAAGTATCTCAGGTTTTAAGGCGGAATTTTGCTATAGAACAAAGCTGTCTGTTTGTCCTACTTACCTGTTTATCAAACTGATAAATGACAATGCGGAAATGGCATCTCATAACAGGGACAAATTCATACTCTCTATGGCAATTGTGTGAAAATAAATGGTGAAAAAAAATCAGTGTTTGACTATGGAAAACCTTCGCTGAAAGCTATTGACAGATGACGAAGTGCTTATGCCAATGCTGTGATCACGGGCCGGCAGACTAAAAAAACAAAAGGGTTGCAGCGCAGATGTTACTCGGTTAGGAAGCAATTATAAGACTTCACTCGGATGAATCTATGATCCCCAATGCCATGTTATTTTAGCCATGGTTTTTTTTTTTTTTTTTTTTTAAAAAACAAAACTAGCCTTTTATAATACAGTTTTGCTACCAAATGGAAATATTCAATAACTTCATAGGCGCAAAGCATGAAGCTACAGAAACCTTTGCAAAACATTATCGAAGTAACAATTAAAGCTGTTATGTATACAACAGGTGATTGCATTCGTTTTTTCTCTCGATTCCTCTTTCGTAATAAGAGGCTCCACTACTCACTCGAAGAAAATATCTGTAGTAGTCACTCGTAATCACAGCTTTTACTGTATCACAGCTTTTATTGACAGCTTATCGAGTGAGAACACAGCCTGTTAACGCTTTTAGCCAGTAAAACGAATAATAGTATAATTTGCGAGCTTAATCTTAGGCAAACGATTGGTCTCAAACGATAACTCTATATGAAATAGAGATTACCAATTTACTTTCTAAGCATTTCCTTCTGTTTCTTTACACAGATATTAACAAAATCCGCATCTTTAATTTACAAAGTTTCGTTATAAAACGCTATGGCTAATTTCCAATCATGACAAAATTGAGCGGCTGGCTTCGTTAACAACACGTTACCACTAAACCATATTATTGAGCTCAGTTGACATATCTCATCAAGTCTTGATGGCAAAGGAAAATCCTAAACGCATTCTGATTCCAAATAAGAGCCTTCACCGCTTAATTACAAATGCGCAAATTACAGACATGTCATTGTTTGTTATGGCTACTAAACCACAATTTTTCACCCGTTGGTTTCTCGTTAGATAATCCGAATACAATATACTATTTAGAGGTAGCTCTTCCTATTTTTCCTTACTCTTTTTAACATGAAATGGCATATCTTCCCGTCTATCCTAACGTCTATAATTTTTCGTACAAGGTATGGAAAATAATTTACATGCCAACGTTAAAATAGGTGTACCCCTATGCATAGCAGATTGCTTGTCTGATTGTCTGCTTTACTGCTCGTCTCACTTCACTTATCTTCCAGCAGTAAAGGAACGGGTTTAAAGTAGAGTTAAATAACACTAAGGCATTTGCTATTCCCCTGACTACGATGAAATTCGATAATCCCTTTAAACTCAAAGATATCAAAATTCCCACTGTTGTGTTTGGTACATAACAGACAACTAATACTAACTGCACCCACAGTGCACTGTACACTGCCTTTCTATACCGCGCCATGTTCAGTGCATTTGGTTGGCTCGGCTGTTGTTGAGTATGATTTTGTATTTGAGCCTGATGATAACTGAGAGCGCGAAAAATCTTTGTGTACGGGACGATTGAGATAACTAGGCATAATGGTGCAACTGTAACACTGACCCAAAAAGTTATACGGTAATTAAGATGAAAGAACAAGCCAGAGACTAGAGATACAATCCAAAAGATAGCTAAAATGATGTATGTGCGCCTCAAAGTCACAATCTCTTTGTATCTCAGTCCCAACAACATGGCGAGAAGTCGGTCCACGCTTATGGTCGTCAGCGTCAACATGGAAACTGTACATAACGCATAGCCTGTTACGCCGGTCGCGTAAAATGAGAATCGGCAAAGACTCCAGTGTTCGTGAACCACGGACATCCAATAGGCAGCATAGATAGGCTGGGTAACAAGACCAACCAACAGATCAGTTGTCGCCAGACAACGATACAAGAGTTTGGATGGCGGATGGAGGGAAGATTCCTTGTGAAGGGCAACAAGGATAAGAGAATTCCCAAGAGTTGCTGTGATGGAGAGGAGAATGTTGACTGCTGAGAGTGAAATGGACTGTTGTTTAAACTCAGCTACCCAAACCGAGGAGCATAGCGGTTCTTCGAATGCTTGCGTATGTGTTCCACTTTCCGTTGTATTTGTTGTCGCCATCATCTTCTTGTCGTTATCCTTATAATTAGTTACAACGAGGGATATTTCGTCTTAACAGCACCATCCAAGTCAAGATCAATTAAACCTTAGCTTTTGAATAACAATTACAGAGAGTAAAAATTTATCACTGGTATCTGACTATGTAAAATCCCCGAAAGCTGTGAGGTTTGTCACACGAAAGAGAAAAAAAGCTGGGTTTTTCTGCGTGATTTGAATTAGAAACAAGGGGGAGGAAATCTGTATTTGTGATAGGTGAATTTTGCAATAAAACAGAACAAAAACCTCTTCACCTAAATAAACCACCAGTGATAGGATATCGAAAGTCGACAGATAATCGGTGGACAGTCTACCGATTGTTTGCCGACACTGTTACCAACGTATAGGCCGACATGTTGTTTGGATCGGATTCGATTCCTTACCCAGATAATACGGTGAATTACTAATTCACGGGAATCTTGGGACACCATGAATTGTTATCAACACGGGCAAACTGAGAGAAAAAGTCCAGTTTCAAAATGCAGGTTACAAATGCGAAGTTATTCTAAAAATATTTGAATTTTTGTTCTCTACGTGTCGCACCTGTGTTGACTTAGGAACGAAACGGCGACAGGTGTCAGATGTTACGTCGTTAGCCCATCTCTATCTTAACTTTTTAATTCAACTGTTTCATTCACTATATTTACTTACTTCTTTCATGGCCGCACATTTAGCAGGATTATATTTTTGTGGTCACGAAAAATGTAAGGGTCGTATTAAGAAGCTCGAAGTCCTATTTTTCAAGTATCTAATTAATAGTGAGGTAAGCTTCTAGTTTCTTGGAAGGAAGACGATTAGGTGACCAATTCTGAGAACACTTTCGCGACGTAGAAAGAAATGACAAAGACGCATCCAAACCAGTTGCTAGACGCTTAAATCTCACTAATCATTCTAGGCAGCATATGGCAGTTTGCGGCCTTTCCTTACATATAGGCAGTTCGAAAAGTAGCAAAACTTTAGAACAGAAATTTGTCTTTAAAATCGGCACTCTTAATCCCTACGGTATCAACGAGCAACCTTCATTCAATTTATTCTTGTTCTCTCGTCACCATATTCCCACCAATAGTGTAGCTCCATATTTTGTATACAAACCCATACACACCCCATAATTGCTCCAGTCGCTCGCACGCTTACGCTCAAAGCGTCAGCTTTTAAACTCCTTACGGAGGTTAATTATGTTATAAACTCACTTAATAATCCTGAATTACCCTAAGTTATTTTTTCTTGTTCTTGTTTCAAGCACGCTGTCATGCATACAGCAAGTGACTGGATTCTTTTTGTTGCTGTTTTTCTCACGATTAACGATTTACCTTTAATAATATTCGAATATTATAATGCTACGTTCACTCGGCACCGGACGAATTTTCGACCGGCCGAAAATTTCGACCAGATATTCCGTTCACGTGGAACCGTGCGAAAGTTTCGTTCTGTTAAGGTGGAACTAATAATCGGATAAAGTTTGTGACATGCGTCAGTGGTTTTAACACCTACTCATGCGCAGAACGCTTCTAATTCAGTGTTTTCGCTGCTTCGACGTCTACGATTTACAGATAAATGAGAGACGTTTTTAACTTGATTTTCTGACATTATCAAGACACCAACACAATGTCGCTTACCTGCATGGTAAGCTCGGAATGTCCTATTACCGAGCACCGCAACAGATGTACCAACAAGTTCCCTTTTCGCATAAAATTGTAAACATGTCATTTGGGAGTTACTACATCACGGCTGACGAGCCGGGAAAGAAAAATAGTTCGAAATGTGGGTGGTCAGCGGTGAAACAGCTTTAATACTTCATATAGAGACAGATACAATCGTGTTGTAAAGCCGAAATGTTACCAAGTTATACTTTGCTACTTAAAAAGTTAAGAAATTTTCCAAAAGCTTTGAATGTAACAATATTTTTTTCTGCTATATTAACCGACAGAGGCATCGGTGACATCGAGAAACGCATCAAGAAGAATGATATTTACGTTTTGTAACTTGTTGTGGGACGAAAAAAAAGTATCTTAATTGACTTCCGGTTGTTCAAGGTGTAAATCACAGTTGGCTTGCTTTTCACTCGAATTTTGCAATCTCCAATGTTTTTTTCCGGAAAAATGAAAAGCTAAACAACTTTCTAAAAACGTATTTCTCGATTTATTTATTTTTCGAGTCTTTAATACGTTTGTATCCACCCATTGTTTGTTAAAACAGTAACAGATATATGCACAGTCAACACTTTTGAAAAATTGCTTAACTTTTTACTTAATTAGCGAAGCATATTTATTGTTCACAGAGAAATATGTTTTTCGTCTTGTCACGAGCGTGAGACAAAGAGAAAATTCTGAGTCCCCATGAGGAATCGAACC